CATCTTCACCAAATCGCTTCCGCCATGCCACTTTCAAGGATCTTGTTTCCAAACTCAAGATGAATTCATATAACCTACCTTGAGTTTGAGGGGCTGTTAGAATATATTGTATAGGATTACCATATATATATATATATACTAGATAAAAAGGACGTGCAATTACACGTAATTAGAACTCTTAGTCTAGCATTAAAAAAAAATACTACTTTAACATGAAAAATTTGAAAATTGTCATATAAAAATTAAAATTTTATTGTCATCTTCATACAAAATAATTTATAGAATTTTATTGTCTTCATATAAAAATTTTATTTTCATTTAAAAATTAAAATTTTATTTTCATCTTTATACCAAATAATGTATATAGATATAGTTTAGTTATTATAATGGTTTAGATTTCTTGAAGATTGCATGAGATGATTCACTCCCACTATTTTTCTCATGATTAATAAATCTTTCACTTGTTAATTATTGTAGTCTTGTGATACAAGTATTATTACTAATTATTTAATTTAAAATTAGAAAAGAATTATTCTCAACTTTTGCAACTTGTTACAAGTATATCAAGAAACTTTTAATCTAATTTCAAAAGGTAAAAGGTTAAAAATGTGTTAAAATATAAAATTCTTTAGGCAAATAATGAACAAAATATTAGTAAAAGTGTATAAATATTAAATACCTGATGTATTAGTTAGTAAAATACCAATCACCAATGTAAATGAAAAATCTATAAAATAATAATAATAAAAAAGTAAATTTGAAAATGCAAAAATATAAAAAAATAAAAAGTAAATGTGAATCACTAATGATATGGGAAAAAAAAAAAAAAAAAAATTAACAAGAGGCAAATGAAATCAAGATTTATATTGAAATACACATTTGAAGTGAAAGAAAATTGGAAATCTATTTAACCAAGAAAGTAAAAAAAAATGGAGACTATGTAACAATGTCAGAACAAAAGGTAAAACCAAGTCATGTCTATTTTAGAGAAACTTAATTGTTGTTAGGCATTTTATAACTTGCATCCTACTTTCTTTATTTTTTTGTTCTTTGACGTATTTTAGGTCGAGATTTTATTTTTGAACACATAGACTGACCATTGGAAGGTTGAAACTATAAAACAATAAATTGTATATGTATATATTGAGAAACACAAGTTTCTTCACACTTAAAATGTTTGTAATTAGTAATTACTATATCATCACAATTTGAAAATATCTTTAATTTAAAATTTAATGATTTCGCATATCCATGTAACGAATTTATCATGGTGTCAATTTGAGTGTTTTTGGCTTGATCTGCCAAATTTTTTTTTTTTTTTTTTTTAATTAGTAGTAAAATCAACATACAATTTTCTTTTATATAAAATATCTAAATTGAAACTCTTAAGCAAATAGTTAAAAATTAGAATAATATTTAAAAAAGAAATTGAAAAGAAATAAACAAATATTAAATCATTCTAGTTTCCTAACTATGACTGTTTTCTAATCGGAATGAATATTGTAAGTATTAAATTTGTAGATAAAAAAAATAAGAATCATCCTTGTACATCCAACAGATCATTCAGTTTCCCTTATTTATTCCTCTATTGGCACGGTATTAAGGATTTAAGCATCTTTTTGAAGGGCTTCAAAACAAGCCAAATCTAACACAAGTAAAGGATATTGAAAAGAAAACATAAAAACTGTAATTTAGAAAATCAATACTTATGAAATATTACATCCTTAAATTTGGTCGGCACTTTTTACAAATTACAAGTTATTGAAACTCTATTTTTCAATTGACGGAATTGACTCATCCTAGATATTCCTGTAAATAAATAAATAAAAAATAATAAAATTGCTCTCTCTATTCACATTGAACTATGTTCCATTTTGTTTGGTCATTCATTACCGAAGTAAGAAAAATATTTAATACAGATGAAAAGGGGCAAAAGGAACGTAGAAGTCTAAGACGCTCTTTGCAATGCCGTGCATGGAAAGCCCAAGTTATTGAAATATTTTTCTAATAGGGAGAGCAAGTAGAAGGAGAAAAAAACTTTGAATCCAAGGAGTTTTAGAAACATCTATTGAATGACTCTCGGTATTTATTGATGCATGTAATGAAAAGGTGTCTTAGTAAAGAGGTGTGAATTTATAAGGTATAATCATATAATTTTAATCGCAAACACATCTGACACAACTCTTCATAAATTTATTTAAAATACAAATAATAATAATAATAATTGAATTGGTGTTTCATTTGGACACGTCTTAATTGAATGGGTGTTTTTTCTTTTCAAAAAAGTGTTAGTAGTTAAATAGGCACCTTTTGAAGAATTTTAAGAGGTGTTAATGTTTGATTCTAACTCTAATTCTTAATTAAAATATGGATATCATCCCAGAAAATAATACACAAAAAATCAAACGAGTCCTATATATGATAACTTTAACCAACTATATCACTCTGTCATGTCCATGAAAGTCTTAATCTACTTCATCATTATTGAACACCCGCACAACACTACTGATAGTGTTGTCAATTTATGGCGAAGTAATGAAACAACGACTTGCACGAAAATGTATATATACATAGAAAGATATAGATAGTTTTACAAAGAAACTCTTTCATGTAATAATTACACAGTATATTGAATAAAAGTTATATGTACAAGGAACTCTAAAATATTGAGAGACAAAAAGTTGTTAGAGGAGAGAAGAATTGTAACATAAATATATAATTTATTTAAGAAGTATAGTGTACTTACAATGTTGGCCTGAAAATAAAAAATAAAAAAATTGTTTTGCACAGAAGAAGATAACATAAAAGAGGTTTTTTTTTTTTTTGAGATCATATGACGTATAAGCGGCAAACAACCCTTCACAATCTTAACTATTGATGTCTTTTAGAAATTACGTTGTAGGAAGCTACAAATTTTTTCACAAGGTATATAATTAAAGTTGATTTTTTAATAAAGAAATCTAGAATCTAGAATGTAAGATTGGTTTATATTAAAATTTTAAAATTGTTTAAAACAAGAACTCTTTGGAAAAAAAGGAAGAAAGAAAGGACAAAAGCAGTGTGTAAAAAGGAAACGTCGCGTATAATATTTTTGTAAATTAAAGAAATTATTTTAAAATGTATATAAAAAATCAAAATTGAATACACTTTTATAGGGTATATAGATTAATGTGCCATGCACGTGATAAGAAATGATTATTGAATTTTTTTTTTCCAGAAATTACTTTAGATTTTTTGTGCAGTATAACAAAGAAGTCGAAAAATTAAAAAAAAATTGTATATTTAACATCTTAATTTTAATAAATATGTTTATGTTGTGTTAAATACTTAATTCAGTGAATTTAATAATTAGAGATATATTGAGTACACTCATTGTGAAAAATATGGTCCAAGAAAGAAAAAGAGGGAAGGAAATTAGGGTCAATTGAAAACGAAAGTTGCATTACCATAACTCCTCTCCAAACTTAGATTAAGAAGAAAATGATAAATCATCAATAATGACATCAAGGAGCCATGAAGGTCTTACCTAACTCATGTGCCACTCTATTGCATAATCTGGGACACCAAACCAGCTAAAAACCCAAATTAACTTTCAACAGGAAATTTTAAATCTTCAACAACAATGGATCAAATGTCTTGAAAGTATTTCCTCTATTTTCTATCACCTTTCCAATAAACCAACTAATAATTGCAAATTATTATTATTATTATTTTTAAAGAAATGCTATCAAATTCAAACCACAAACTCTATTACAAACTTTAGATAATAAAGTTTAAAAGTATCTCCATAAACATCGGCATTAGAAAACTTGAATTACTTACTCTAAAAGTCTTTGATATAATGTAAGGTGTGCTAGCTAATTGTCAAGAACCTAAACACACGCTTGAAATCCTCCTAATTACACGCATGTGAATTTAGCTCTTTAGTCATATCTAATCTATGTCACTTCACACTTGCATGCTAGGCATGAGAATTTTCTTTTCTTTTTTTCCATAATCTTAATTTTTGGTAGAAGAGGTGTTTGAATGTGAATGCAATTCCTTAATTGTTAAAACTTAGTATGGAAGGTGTAAATTTATTATAATTAATTACGCATGCCATGTCCAAAATTGTAAAATATGTTAACAATTTATATATATGGATAAAAATGGCACAATTGTTGACTTTGATAATAAAAAATATATATTAGTGAATTTGTTATATCTACTATCATTTATTTTTATAGAAAAAAAAAATTTCAATTCTAATTTCTTTAGAGAGGTGATTTAATTTAATTTCGAAACCATCAATGTGAAGAACTAAGGAGAATATGAATTTGATTTAAAAAGTGTTTGAATGTAAAGCTAATTCTTTATCAACAATCTATTCAGTTTTAAAAAATATTAGTAATTTGTTTAGTTTATAAGGGTGTTAAAATGCATATAATGCTTTCTCAAGTCCAATAGAAATAGATATATATGTATATATATATATTCATCCAAAAAAAGAACATATGTAATAATATTAATACAGATTAGGCACAGCCGAACCACCTCTCCTCGAGCGTGGCGGCTTACCCCCAGAAACTGACCTACTCGCCGACGATCAGCCCCAAACTGGTTTTTTCGGCGAAGAGCTCTCACCAATCTCACGCACTCTTCGACTTGGTTCTTCCGAGTTCGAGACCGTCACAGCCAGACCATCTCCACCTCGGCGTGCACAAGCCGCAGTTGCCAAAGCCGGATCTGTCTCGCCGGCCGCCGAACCATTCAGCCGCTTGAGAGGGGAATCGTGGAGAGAAAAAGAGCTGTGATTTTTTTGTGTCGCCAGCGAAGCATCCCGCCTGGCTTGAGATGAGAGCTTGAGAGGGGAATTGTGGAGAGAAAGAGCTGCGATTTTTTTTGTCTGACGTGGCATAGCCATCTAGGATTCGAAGGATAATTCGGAGGATTAAGTCGGCAAATGTATCATTTCTCTTATTAATAGTATAGATATAGTTACCATATATATATATATATGATTTACTTGTTCATCACACATAATTCCTCCTATATAAACCACTATTGTATACATCTCTTACAGCAATACAATGCAGAGTTATACTGTGTCTTATTTGTAGCAATAAAATTGCTAAGGTATTATTACATGACTGAAATCAATACTACTATGTTCTTACTGATTGTTTCGTAACATCTTTGATCAATCGTGAAATGTTGGTGCGAGCAGATCCTCCTTCTTCCATGGCTTTTATTGCTTTCTTTCCTAAATCTCTTGCTCTACTTCTTCTCTCTCCTTCTTCACCCATTAGTCTCTCAATAGCCTTCTCAACCTGCTCTTTCTTCACCAAAACCCCAACTTTCTCTTCCTGCCCCCATCTAACAGGGACTTCAACGCCAACCCGAACCCCAATTTTCAGAACTTCGACGATTAGTTTCTCGTTCAAGAACTGCTCTGCAAACATAGGCCATGTTATCATTGGGACACCAAAGCACACCCCTTCTATGGTTGAATTCCAACCACAGTGAGTTAAGAACCCTCTGATTGATGGGTGGGACAGAATGAGAACTTGGGGAGCCCAACCTTTGATCAATAGTCCTCTCCCTTTGATTCTCTCCTCAAATTTCTCTTCTACTAACCACTTCTCTAGCTCTTCTTGGAATCTCTCTCCTGTTTTTATCACCCAAATAAATGGGTGTCTGGATGCTTCTAGGCCCAACCCGAGCTCTATCAATTGTGATGGAACTAGGCGGCATTGGCTGCCAAGGCAAGCGTAAAGAACGGACTTTGGTTTCATTGAGTCTAGCCATCCCAAACACTGTGTCTCACCAATTGAAGGTTTGTTCCCTCTCTCAAACTTGTCCAACACTTCCTCGTTGTAGAGAGAAACCGATCCAATGCACCACACCTTCTTATTCAAGGCCTTCTCGTACAATTCGTCGCACCCATTTTCCACCTCGCGGAAACTATTCACTACAACCCCATACGCACTCGACTCAGCCTCTCGCATCTGGTCCCGGACATCATCCAAGTCCGGCAAGGTAACAAATGCTCCCGGCAGCTGCGCTCTGATGATCTCAATCCGTTGAGGCAATCCTGGCACCACGAAAGGCTCTGTGTCTGAATTGACTGAACGGTGAGTATTATGGAGCTTTATATTGTGAGAGCTTAATAATGAAAAGCAACTCATTCCGTGGAAGACAATCCTAGGAACCTGGAACTTTTGAGCTGTTTTGGATGTCCAGGAGAGGCACTTGTCTGAAATGATGCAGCTTGGAAGAGGCTTGTTTTTTTGCAAATGGTCTTCCAATGGCTCTTGTAGCTTATCAAGTGCATTATAGAATTTTCTGATTAGGTCCGGGGATGGTACACTGTCAAGGTTCTCACATCCCGGAGGAAGTCCCACTTCTCGCCATGGGAATCGGATTTCTATGAGTTGAATTGGAAGCCCGGATTTCTTTGCGCGATCAATGGTTGACGCGAATCGTGATGCATTGTGAGGGGTGGTGACTATGCTCACCATCACGCCATGCTTCGCGAACAGCCTGGCCATGTCTATCATAGGGATCATGTGACCTTGAGCTAGTAATGGGATGAAGACAAAGTGAGGCAAGTTCGACATGGTTGTCGTCATTGCTAGAGAACTGGTGGTGGATTTTGAAATGGTTTTGGTGAGTAAAAGAGGTTCAAATTGCAGCGTTGTAGTCTGCATTCACATAAGGTCTCACAAGGTGAGCTTGACTGGTTCTTCAAAAAAATCAAATTTCCATTTGCTTGACTGGTTCTTGTAGTCGGTGGGGAACTGGTTTTAGTGCTTATCTGACAAATGCTAATTGATGAGCCACTATAACATAACGGCTTGACCCAACGTGAGTTTTGGTTGATCGAGTCAATCGACTCACTCAATCTACAGCGTACACATTGGGCTGTGCCCCACCCATTCAATTATGTCCCCCTGATTACACGGCTTAATATGATGGGCACGTACTGGATTGCAAGCAAATAACCCAATACTGGATTATTTTGTAAAATTAATCCAATAACCCAATTTTTGTGGAGAAAAATATTGAATACTCGCAAGATAAGTAACATACTGGATTGCAAGCAATCTCTAAAATGTGGAAGTTTTTGTACCTTTGATATATATAATGCTCTTCTGTCTCTGTCCTGTTTTTTGTTTTATTGTTGCACATGCATTACGTGTTACATCATTGTTGTAAAACTAGTTTGTATGTGAAAAGAACCAAAAAAACTGTAAAGTGTGGTATGGGTCTGTATTAGTCTCCATCTCTCTTGAATCATTATCAACATCCAATCATTTGTAGTAATTAAACCAAAAAAAAAAAAAAAAATCATTTGCTCAATTAAACACGGCACAATAGGATGTATGAAAGCCACAGAGCCGTGGGCTCTACACAGCCCACTGATAAATTTGGAAATGTATGGTGAAGCTGAAGTGTGTGTCCAACCCATTTTAGAGTTCAAGACGTCAAACTTGATACATGTGTCATTCATTGACTCAGCCAATTGGCGATTGTTAGAAGTTCTTTGATGTTTGTATGTGGACTCCATATAGTTTGCATTGCACATTGTTAGTACTTTGCATTTGGGTTTGTCGTGAATCATGGGATGCTATAAAGAAATGGACCTATCACCTATGTAAACACGTCCGACCGGCCAAAGACAACCGACCAAGAGATCTAATGTAAAAATATCGCGCTACAAGTGGAGACAACCGACTAACAGCCGGCATTCTCATATCGGAAATTTTAAAGTTGTCCAATAGTAACAACCGACAACGGACCAAGAGATTGTCACCGTTTTATAATAAGTTGTAATATATAATCTAATGTTTAGATTAATTCGATGGGTTTAGAATGGGATATCATCGAACATAATAACGTTATCCACTATTTTCATAAAATACTTAATTTAATTAGTCTGAGAATTAGACTATTTATCGTTTTCCTTCAAGAATTTTAGAATTTCCAGTGTAAAAATGACGTGACGGATATGGCAGACCTATTTGGAGAACAGGGGCCATGTCCTAAAAGATTTATTACTTACCAAAAAAAATAATAGCCCCACTCCCACCTACACATCCCTAAAAATTTTAAAAACCTTATTTTATGGGACTTTATAATAGTTTAAATTAAAGTATATTAAAAAAAAAATTACTTATAAGAAAAAGGGTCACGTTAACAAATAAACTCCACAAACTAATATATAATGTCAGTTTGGAATCTTTCAAGTTTTTATTTATGAAAATTCACATTCATACATACAAATTTATTATATTATATACCCCCTAATTAGGCATATTTATACATGAATTAAAAATACTTTTATTTATACTTGATTTATCATTGTTTATATATACATATATACACATATTAAAAAGATACAGAAGACTTCCATGTAAAAAAATAATATATTATAATTTATATATATATATATATATATATATATATATATATATTTTAATTTTATTTTCACACACTAGTTCCGTGCTTCAAGTATAGTGTTTTAGCTCTGTCAATTTAAAAAATGGCTAAGCGTGGGTGTGCTGGAACCAAATCAATTTGTGTGAAGTCAACTCAGTCTCTTTTAGAAAAATAGTGGACTAGACGATTATACAAATAGAAAACATTGAACTTTACAAGAATGAGTTTTTAATTGCCTTAGATGAAAAAAAGTTTTAGAAGAGTAGAACGAATTGCATGGTAAATAACTTGAATTGAAATGGAAGTTAAAGCTACAGAAATAATTAACGTGATTGAAATATCATAGTATGGAAAAAAATTGAAATTAATATTGCAAAGAAAAGGAAATAGAAGGAAATAACTAATAAACGAATCTGAATCAAACTAGAATAATTAATCAAAAGGAAGTTGAATTAAACAAATAAAATTGAGATTCAATTAAATTAATGAAAGTATGATTTAGAAAAGTGATATTTTATTGATGTAGTTGATTATGAGTTGCGGGACCCTAACAAGGAATGATACTAGCGTATTTATAACGTCCTAAAATAACGAATTTCTAAAACTAAGCAATACGATTACTCTTAACTAAAATAAAACTCTACTTGATAAGTCCATTTTTATCTAAATATTGAATATCCTCTTTTACTTCTATGGTCTCACTTTTATCTCTCACGAATTAAGGATAAATAAGATATATAAATTTCCACTTGATCCAAAATTGTTATCTTTCCATATGATAATCCTTTAATTATCTCTTTTAACAATTTCAATTTCTCTTAGATCATGTACCTTAAAGTGTTACGTTTGGAGGCATAGTTAACAGTCATTTAAAACTAATTTGTCCATTCCTTTAAACAGCCTTTTTGTTTTTCAAATATTAAGCGGTACTCAAAATAAATCAACGTCATGAAAATTAATTGAAAAAAATAAAGAATTTTCAACAAAAAAAAAAACAACATGTGATATATATATATATATATATATATATATATATATATATATATATATATATATATATATAATAGTGTATTTGCGTAGATATATTGGTTATTGTTCAAATTAGATTTATAAATATGAGTTTAGATGCACAACTTTACTAGGTATATGCATTTATAAATATGGTGGTAGGAGGTTGAGAGGGGATGAGTGATGGCCATCGTTAGAAGGTGAAGAGTGTAAAAGATGGAAATAGACATAGTTAGAGGGTGGTATAGGAAGAGGCGAAAAAAATAAAGTGATAGATATGAAAGGAGAGAGAAGAAGAAATATAAATGTAATAATAATAAAGTTATTATTTTTTGAAAAATTATAATGAGGGTGACCACAAGGGATCCAAGTCCCTCTTCATAACCCAAAATCAAGTACAGATTAAGCATAATAAGTTCGCCTTGTAGGTGATTTTTCACGTCGTTTTTTTGTTTTGTGTGATTGAATCTGTTCTTATTTGGTTTGTTTTCGATTCGACAGGGTGAATCTGTTATTTTCTCTTCGGTTAGATCTCTGATTTAGGTCGATTTTTGTTTTCCCTGGCTTCATTTGATCTTGTGCGGGTTGGGTGTGTAGAATGCAGTTTTGGAGCAGTTGTCTTAATGATGGTCTAACCTTTAGTCACTCCAATTGCTATTCTTCTCCCTCGTTAGATTCTGTTCTAAAGCGGTTGTTTTTTCTCGCCAAATCTAAAGCCTGTTCTTCATTTTATTGTATTACTTTATGATTTATATACTTTTATCTGACTTAATTGTACAAGTTTTGTTTGTAGACAGTGTTTTTTATTTATTTATTTATTTTTTATAGAAATTACTGGTATTATCATGATATTTAACTAAGTCAATTGCTGTCTAGTTAAGTAATTGGGATTAGGTTGGTGACAGGGACAGGTTCTTTACAAGTCCTATCCTGGGTGCGTGTCGGTATGATCAAGACAAAGTCTCATAAAACGTTAAATTGACTTTGACTATTACAAAATATGGGATTCTATTTCTGTCCCCACGAAAAGCCCAGAAGGCAATAGGCGGCAGCGGCAGCATGGGTGGGTCTACAGAGTTCGCGCCCATCTTTGATTCCAGTCGGTGCATGTTTATCACGCGGGTCGGGATGACAAAATGATCCGTTCTCTCAAATTCTTGTGCTCTGTTTTAAATTGCACAGCTGTCCCAGCATGTATGCTCTTGTTAAAAAAGTAAGAGGTTGATGTTGCTAAACTATGACAATTGATTAATCCCCTCTTTTTTTAGTTTGTCAAAACATCAAAAAAAAAATAATAATAATAAATTAAGCGATTATAAAGTTAAGAACATTCACTTTGTAAAATTACCAAGATATTCTTTTTGTATTTTATTAAAGTATTAACTAATTAATTTTTTTAAAATAAATATAATAATTAAATTTCATAATTTTCTTTTCAACATGAAAAAATTTACATAATACTCGGTGTGTGTGTGTATATATATATATATATATATATATATATTGGTCTTTTAACCAGTTAGTTATTAGTCTTTTAAAAGTTAAAGACCTAAATTAGTAGTGCATACATGCAAAGTTTATATGAGGTTATAAGGTGAATTAGGGCTGAAAAAAAAAATGGTGAATTAGGATAATAAAGGAGGTAAGATATTTAATGAATATATATCGAATCGGATTTGTTGATACGAAATAATATTTAGTTAAGTGTTAAGACTTGACTTTGTTAACTTTTAATTTTGTTTTGTTGTTCCTTTGTTTACTGTTGGCCTAGCTACGTCTTGGTTGTCTCTTTAATATAATGCTTATTTACCCAAAAAAAAACAAAAGAATTTTTTTTTTTTTAATTATCTTGGTTGTCTCTTTAATATAATGCTTATTTATCCAAAAAAAAAAAAAAAAATTTAATTATCGACTTTCCATATGGACATACTTGATTTGTAACACTGTAACTTAACTGAAAGTGAACTAAATGAATATAACTTACAACAAGCATTTGATTAACAGGATAAACATTTTTTTTTTAACTACAAAAAAGGTTACCAAACTTTACCATTTCATGGTTGAAATGGATGAAATTTACAAGGAAAAACAGAGAATTATTGTGAATTTATGAAAATTTTGCAAGAATTTAAAGTTTTCCAAAGGTCTTTTATTGGAAAATATTATAAAATGTGACGTGCTTATGGAAAATCACTCTCATTTTTTTTTTTTTTCTTGCTACTCAAAGTAACTGTTTACAAATTTCAATTCCCTTTCCTTTCTAACTATTTCTATCTAATTAAATGGAACGTTATCTAACCTAAATTTGTCTTAACTACGCAATAGACCTGGCTTCTATGCCTATTATATTTTTTTCGACCCTATTAGCGTCCATTTTACATTACTATTGGAATGAAAAAACATTTTTATTTATAGAGTTATAAAATTATTAGTAAAAAGTAGGTATGTGAGATGTTCAGTAATATATCATATAAAATATTTTTCACAATTGAAGTATGTTTTAATTTGTTTGGTGACAATTTTTTTTAAATCCTTTTACGTAGTATTATTAATTTTACAATAATAATTTTTAATAGAGTGTCATTATATTTGATAACAACAGGACATGGAAGGTGTAAAATTGTCTTTATATATATATATATATATATATATATATATAATTGGGTATTACTCCGTTGGGATCTTAAGTTCACATGCGTATCAATCAACGGAGAG